GCCTCCAACCTCATTATCTCCAGTCCTGGCTTTCAAATTTTAAAGCCTATAGTCTCTTATTTACTAAGCCATATTAGCTGTTAGGTTAAGAAACAATTCTACAGATAATTTATGAATCAGACTCTTTGGTGTTACTCTCTTCAATTTGCTTTTATTTTAAATTAATTTTTATATTTTATGTATGGAGGGGAGGTATGGAATCTGAAGAGATTATAAAGCTATACTCTGACTTGCAGAAATCAAGGTGAGGGAAATGGAATACAGAAAGTATAAATATTCTCCAATAAGTAGAGACAATTGGAAATGTTTTAGTTGAATATGAGTAAGATAAAATAAAAATAAAAAGGCGCTGTCACAGAAAAAAGTTAAAACATTGCATCTCTCAAAGGACTTTGAAAATCAAGTTAAGAAGAGAAAGAGATTTTGAAGTTATAAGTAGATAGTAAGTAGTAAGGAAAGCAACTCAAGATGAAAATCCATTGTTGAGAAATAATGAATGAAAGTGCGATTTTTATGGATAGATTATCAAGGGGTCAGCTGATGCCTGGACCTGACAACGGGCAAGACAAGCAGTCCTGAAGTAGAGAAATTAGGGCAGCTCATAAGAGGCAGTGGGTTGAAAGGATAACTGGGTTTTATATGAATTGAGGTTTGTTTTGAAGCATCCTGCCGAGAAGCTGAGATTAATGAGAACAGAGTATTATAATGTGATTCCAGTTAAAGGATCCTTCTGCACTAAGCTTAATGAAGAATGACTAATTAACATCTTTTGAAGGTAAGGAAAATAAAACAATATACATCAGAATTGTCTTCAAGGAAAAATAAACCCCAAATCAAATCTGGATTAATGGAATCAAAGTGCTTATTCAGACTTCAATATATTAACCCCGGTGCTTTTCTAAAAACTTTCTAATCATCCTTGATTCATTTATGTCACATGGAGAAAACTGGATTCATTCTTACTGGGATCTGGGCAAAATCCCCACTTCTCATCTCTTTCGTATCGGCTTGTAGTTGCACACCACAGCGAGTCATCTTCCCGACCTTCCCGGGTACATTTGTGATGCCACTGATTCTTGTACTGGAAGGGAAACACACACGGCATCCCATGGTCATTCCCCTTGATTGTATACATGTCTAGGAGAAAAAAAATGTGCAAAGTCAAGTTTACAATGCCAGCTTCAGCTTTGGAAATTGTCGTCTGGTTAACACACCTTTATTGGGGGGAAACCGTCTAGGAGGAGGCACTTGCTAAACCTCAGAGAGCCTTTGGGAACTCATCATCTAGTGTTTGTAGGACTAGGCCAAGTTCTGGGCTCAGAAGAAGTACTGGCAAATGGTTTGCTTATGTACTTATCTACCTGCTTATTTACCATGATGTGTTGCTACAGTAGCATATTTGTGATGGATGAAAAGGAAAATTTAATGAAGATTTTTCTGTAAAATATCTGACAGTCCCCAAAGACATCAGCCATCAGCATCTAATACCTAATGGTTTCATCTGCATTTATTAATTTATTCATTCAATATGTATTAATCGAGTATCTAATGTACTCTGCACTGGGAAGATAGCAGTGAACAAACTAGCAAATATTCTTTTTTTTTTTTTTGGTTTAGTGAGAGATAAAGATAAAGCAAATATACAAAAAATTGTGTAATTTCAGGTAGTAATAAGTGCCATGAAAAAAAAGTAGGGCAAGAAGAACAGTGTGTGTGCGCGTGTGTGTGTGTGTGTGTGTGTGTGTGTGTTTGTGTGTGTGTGTGAAGGAGTAGAAAGGTACCATTTTAGGTGAGTTGGTTAGTGGATGGCCTCTCTGAATAAAAACTAGGTGAAGCGAGGCACTTAGGAAAAGTGTTGTCCAAGCAGAAGAAACAACAAGTATAAAAGACTGGAGAAAAAAAATGTGGGGGGGGTGAATGAGGAAAAGCAAGGAAGCTCTAGGGCACTGGTGGCAATTCTACGGCACATGTGCCACAGTGGGCTGTTTGTATCATTGAAAGCTCTAAAAGGTTCACCATCCCTACTCTAGAGGAAGGGGAATCAAGGAAATAGGCAGCATCTGCTCACACAGACTGTCTCTGCCATGTTGTTATAGTGTTTGGCTTTTACTCTGAAGGTGGTGGGTACCAATGGTAGGCTTTGCATGGGAAAGTGAAAAGATCAGATTTCCATTGCTGACAAATCAATCAGGTGCAGTAGAGCAAATGGAGAGGGTGAAATGTGCTGGCTAGGCAGCTTCCACAGTGGCCTAGAGAGAGATGATCACGCAGAGGTGGCCTGCTGGCTGCTTCATCACAGTATTGCTATAATCTATCAGCTTTGACCTTAAGCAAGAATCAAAACCATTTTTGTGACTTCATCGGGGCTTTCTATGGTGAGAGGAATCAAGGCTACCCTCAATTAAGTCACTGGCTCCTGAACAAAAGGTTCACCATGGAGATCCCCTACTTTTCTATAGTTGGCAGGGACTGGGTTGAGCTGACAACAATATTGCCAGCCTAAGCAGTTAGGCTTGCTTAGGAAGTAGAGGTCATTCAGGACAGGGCATGTTATTTTGTTTCATTGCTTTCTACCAACAGCAAACACATTTTTCCCTGTGTGAATTGTTAGTGTGTGAATATGGCTAAAAAGTTAACACAAAGCACAGGATCATATTCTTTCTTAGAAATGCAGGATTTTCAGAGTGCTGCTTTACAGCACTGGCTTGATTATAGTGAGTCTTGAAAGAACCTTACTCTTCACTGATTCCTTGTAGCTATAGGGAAAGGTCCAGTCTTGGGCCTTAGGAGCTCCTTGCTCTTCCTCTAAGGACTGCTGTGGAGCTTTTAGGAGGATATGCTTACATTAAAGCGTAATTCTACAGAGCTCCCCGAGGGGCACATCTATCTTCTTGTTGGCCTTTATAAACCAGGTGCCTGGCACTGTGCCTGATGAGGAGTCAGTGCTGGATAGATGAGTGTTCAGGTGATGAATAGATGAACAACAAAACAAACTCTGAGAGACATGGTTGGGGTGTCAGAATTTAACTGTGTGACTTGCTTTTCTTTTCTTTTTTTTTCAGTTTAAAAATGCCAAAAATAATAACAGAATTATGGAAAAGGAAAGTTTCCCTTATAAATCATCCTTCCCACAAGCCATGGTTGGCACACACCAAATAAACCTTGACAGTAGTGTGCAATTTATCTTCCAGTGTGTGAAGCATGACCATCACGTGGATGGCAGGCAGGAGCGAGGAGGCTTTTGAGCGTCCTCCCCGCCTTCCTCACAGATGGCTGAGGTGCTACAATAAGAGGAGTGGCGGCAGAAACATTACCATATTTTTTATGACAACATCCTTCACTTCAAGTATCTCTCCCTTTTCTCTCTCCTGCTTATTCTTTCTTCTTCTTTCCATTGATTTCCCGAGTTAGGTTTTTCTTTCAGTGCCTTCAAATTCGGACAAGTTCTGCCACTGTAGCAGAATTCAGAATGTCTATTGTAAGACATCGGTAATTCTTTTACTATAAGCAAGGAAGCCACTAAAACATATTTACCATAAGTCTCTTGGCATTGCAGGCTCTGTGGACTTCTTCCACAGAGTGCTTTACGAACCATGGAATATTTTCTAAATACTGTATACCCCTTCACAGATGCTTTGAGGTAAATTAATTTTACCTTTGTGAAGGTGTTCGCAAATATCTCCACCACCTGACATATAGGAAACCCACTTGTGAAGATGTTTCCACGAGGCCATCACGGTGTTATCATGCTGCACTTGGACCATGTACTGGAGTGGGCCCACGATCATCTTCCTGTTACAGTGCCATCTCAACGAAACATCCGTGGAATCACATTCATATATGCCTAACGGCTGCTCTGGATTAGATAAATTCAGACCCAGGCAACCACTGGCTCCCAGGTTAAAGAGGTGGTGATATGAAACCCATTTCCACAGCATGTTCTCATTTGGCTGTTTGCAGTCCTCCAAGGTCAGTACAGATTTACCCACTTGAATGCATTTCTTGAGGCTCTCACTTTGGATAATGAATATTCCTTTATCTGTAAGAGAATAAGAAAATATGTGATATGCAATTTTCATATATAATTAGGTAGTACTTTGAGGATCCTAGGGTGCATATCTAAGAGCTGGAGCTGACAGGTAGTGTTCACCTAAAGGGCTTTCTTTATATCAAAGAGAAGTTTCTTGGGAAGCATAAAAGGACTTGCTGGAGCCAATGGGAGAACTCTGATCTAAGACCTCATTGCCCATGTAGGGACAGGGATACCTGTCAGTTACTTAATGGTACTGCTGAGAGAAAGTGCTCACCACAACTGGATAGAAAGCACTAATACTCAGCGCAAGAGGGGAGGGCCACTGGGGGTCAGGGGATCGTAATGGTACTTTGGTTTCCTTCAGAAAAAAAGCCTGTTTGTTAGGACTATGGTTAGCAGAATCAAGAGTCTCTGACATAAAAATCTCTACCTTCCCAGTTATTGTGGAAAACCAAGACGTTATAAGAGAAGTGCTGCTTTGTGTCCTACTACATTATTCAGTGCTGGTGAGAAGGTAATGCTTCTCCACAGTTGCTTCCTGTGCTGGATCCATTAAGGGTAGAAAGGTAGCAATATTTTGCTTTGGAATGAACTTTTTCAGGAGTAGCCTTGTTGGGTGGGTCAGGCAGCAGCAGGTGGATGTTCCAGACACTTGCTAACACAACACCTAGATACGAGAGGTACTGGAGCTCCTGGATAGCAGTAGAAACCAGAGGTTACATAGGCACGTGAGGAAAGGAGGTATTTTGTGATATAACCCTGAGCTCCCCTCCTACAGCTGCAGGAAGGGATTTGGGTGAATTTCCTATAGAAATGCTGTGGGAATACACAATAGCTACCCGCCTGCTACCAGACTGTGGTGAGCAGCTGGGCTGAAAATCACCCATAATTATTGCATAATAATTATGAAATTATTTTCTCATGGGATTTTTGAAGGTGGCAATCACGTCTTGGTTTATTGACCTAAGCACCAAGTCTACTGAATACACCACTGAAGTTCAGTAAGTGCTTGCTACTGATGGGACATGCCAGCTGTTGCTTCTGCTTAGCTCTATGATTGCTGAACTTACCTCAGGTCAGATTACCTGGTCAGTCCCAGAAACTTGTTTTCTCTCCCTTTGCCTAGCCTCCCCTGTTACATTTATTTCCTAGTTTTGTTCAAAATTCTGAAGGGCCATTACCAGGTTTCCCTAAAATGACTGGGGCTTGGAGCAGGTTGTGTCACATGGAAGGGGCAGAGCAGGGCCCAGGCAGTGCCAAGAGACCTGGGACAGTACAGAGTGAGCCTCTTTGTATCTGGGTTTGAGGAATAATGATTCACTTTGGCAAAGCTCTTGTGGATTCTCCAAACTTAACTGGGACCAGAAGAGCTGATTTACAGTAACCAACATCATTTAAGACACAGTTTAAAAAGTTGTCGATATGTCAATACAAGCCACACCTCATTTAATAATTGATAACCTTTTGTCTAGTCATGTGTTTAAGGAGTTTAAATTAGTTGTCAGAAGATTGCTTTGATCACCATACATCAGAGCAAAAGAGAAGGGAGTGGCAGTGGGGAGCCAGAGAATGAATGGTTCTGTGAGATTTCATTTAGATCAGGAAATTTGTTTTCCTAATGAAGACCATGTTTCTATGGTTATTAGTAATAGTCACTCAAAATCAAATTCACCTCTCACCAAAGAGATATGGACTCTGATAATTAGCCTTCCCGCCAATACTCCTTTCTACTTTTCCACGCCTTGGTAGAATGTTACCCTTAATTTCTGTTGTAATCTGCTAATCACTTCCTGTTATCCCAGAGTTCCATTAATTTTTCATTAAAGGATAATTAATTTACAATAATGGTTCTGTAGTTCAGCTTCTACATAATATGCATATTCAAATGTATCCAGATCTGCAGCCAATGTCTAGCCCTCGGTTTATATGCATATGCTGGACAGGTAGTCTAATAGCTAGTGGTAAAGAGCTCTGGCTTCAGCAAATCTACCACAGACCAGTCGTCTAACTCTAGGCAGATATGTGATCTTTGCAAGCCTCATCTTTCTTCTTTGAATGAGGAATATTCATAATACTGACCTTGTAGGGAGGGATGTTAAGGCTATTTCATTAAACAGCCCATAAAAAGCTCCCACACAGTACCATGGGAAGTGGCAAGATGTCAGTAAACATGAGTTAGTATTATTACTGTTGTTGTTTTCCATTGGACTTCTTGATTTTTGGTCTATAGATTCAGCTGTGGATCTAGTTGAAGACTATAAAGTCCTAATCTAAACATCCTCTAACTCTTCTAACATTAACAGAAAAGCTTAGTTTTAATTTCTGTAGTACATACTGGGTGGAGACTTTTTGGTTTTAAACAATCCTGGGATTCCATGCTATCATCTGGAGGAAAAGTGCGCTCCAAGCAACAAAGATAACAAAGTCTTTGTCTTACTTGTTCAAGTGCACATACAATTGTGTATTATGAGTCTTCACCTGTTGTGCTTTACATTTCTGACCTATAAAGTCTCTGCTGCAGCTTTTTTATAGGAAGGAGAAAAATATATGATGTGGACAAGAAGTGAGTGAGTAGAGGGTTGGGTGAAATGACCAAGTGGATGTAGAAAGTATGAATCACTGTGATTTGGGTTAAAAATTGTTTTAAATTTCCAAATTATTACAATTTAAGAGAGAAAAGAGTGGCAGAATAGGAACTTCTGTTGTCACACCAGTGAGCACAAAAATACCTTTCCGAAGTGGAAAATATGAGACAAACCTAGTCTATGCTGTTCAACTTTGGGATGCTTTTATATTTCCATGCCAGTTGCCTCTATGACAGCTCTTGAAGTGTTCTTCAGAATGTAGCATAAACAAATAGACGTGGCTTACCTATAAAAATAAACATGCTACTTCCAAATATATTAAACTAATAGATTACCTAATCCCATTTTCCTATTAAGTAATAATAATGTCCCATCCTAGCACTGCTAATCTCATACATTTGTTAGAGAGAAAATAACTGTTTTCAAAAGATTATGAGCAGACTCACTATAGGAATCAACATTCCGTTTGTGACGTTAACATATGAGTTTCCTCTAATAAAACTATAATGTGAAAACAGGCTACCAGTTCTTCGTGTGTGTAGTTGTTGGATTTCAGAAATGGTGCAAATCAGATGTGGGAGTAATCAAGATGGATTATATATGTCAAGGACATCAGTTCTGCTTGAACACTGATTAAGTGATTCATGAAGTACTGCCAGAATTACTACATCTCTTTACAGGGAAGTGTTGTTATACTTCCTTCATACTTATACGTTTAGCAGGAGTAGAAAAAAGATTAAATTACTCGAAGTAATTTATAAGGTAATTTTCACCAGTAAAAAAAAAAAAAAAAAAAAAAAAAAT